GCCGACACCGGCACATGACGCTGTTGCACAATCAACACCCATGCCGCCGCGACCATGCCGAGTAGCTCAAGAACATTGATACTGACATCGGCACACTATGATACAGACTTGCTAGACCCCACAAAGCGGGACTGCTCGTCACACGTCAGATCACGCCGGAAATAACACCCAGTTTGCACACAGTATGCTCCAAACGCCGTTTTGGAAGCATCGGCAAACACAGCCATTACCGGAGGACGAAGCACCACATTGTACATCGGTGCACACAACTGGCCGCCACGCGAGGCCAGACCTCGCTGCACAAACCAGCGCCAGAAATCCAAATCATCGTGAAACATGGGCCCCAACACGACACGCCGATTGGGGTTAGAAACACGCGAAGGAAACACTTCGGACTGCGGCATGCCGACGTCGGCCAGCAGACAGCCGACGAAAAATTTGCCCGGACGCAAGGCAAAAGACACGTGAAGAAGAAAACCGGTCAATTCCGCGACGTGACGGGCAGTCGCACACCGACGCGACCGCGGCCACTCGCCCAACAAGCGGTTTAATTTCTGTTGTTTTCGCAGAGGCATGGTCACTGTGAGAGTTTGCGTGTCTAAAATCCATCCCAACACCTCCAAACGCGTCGAAAAATCGGTGATTTTCTTTGCAGACAACAACGGAGGATCGTTTGGCCCCCGGTGTCCCAGCAGACGGAAATTGTCCGACGCGATCGACTGCACGGCACGTAGGCAACGACGACCATCCGTGAAAAACCGCGCCTCGACAAGCACACCGTCATCCACATAATACCGAACGAAAAACGCGGAACCAGCGAAACCGCCCTCCATAGAAATTTGGGCACAATCACTCGGTAACGATACGGGGAGGTTTTGGGGAGGAACAAGCTGAACATGATCAACCGCCGCAACTCCGGCAGGTAACACAGAAGCTGTCTGAAAAGTAGTGTGGGTGTGTGCATGCTCAAGAGCGGAACCAAACAGCGACCAAAAACCTGGGCTGGAACGCCAACCAAACTGGCAACGAAGGTCGATGACGACCACGTCCCCCATCGTGTATCCGAATACCGACGCCCTCGAAGGGTCGACCAACACTTGGCGAAAAGCCTCACGCACGTCAATACCGCAGAGCAAAATCTCGAGAGGCGGCCCGTGTAATTGGCGCAAAAAGAGGACGCGCGACAAGATATCGAAACGTACATGTCCCAACAGACACCGGGGGCACGATCAAAATCTGTATCTGCATTGACGCTAGACTGCGCACCAGCCGCTGTGAATGTGAGATCATGAATGATGCGGAATTTCGGATCGTCCACCACCCCAAGGGGGGAAACACGCACACCCAAAATTTCACGGATGAACTGCACGTCGAAGACGAGAGCACGACCTAACGTAACATCCGAAACGATCTTGTCAATGATCTGCGGAGTGTATGGTAAAATGCTGACATGGTTGCCGTATTTTAATTCGGCGTCTAGACACCCCCCCGGCGCGACATCGACCGGCGCGCCAGGACACAACACGCGGAGGAGGTTGTCAATTTGCGGAAAACGTTTCGAGACCCCAAAAAATTCACGAACCGACGCAACACTAACATGGGGCGCAAAGAAGCCGGCACCACCGGCCGCCACGAGCACTTCAATACGCCCCCCACACTGTCTAAGCAAGGCGGAACCAGCAGAAGCCACCTCACTAAGACCCACACCCATATTGGAGGGTGAACTCACCGCTGCCAAAGCAGACACACGAGATCGCCACACGCAAAGTTCACGCGAACCCGCAATCGACCTAAACGAGACATCACCTGGTAGCAACGAAGAGACAGCCCCGGGCACACACGCCCCTCGATCGACGCCCACGCCCGCCGCCGCCAACGCGGCGGCCCCAAGCGCTCGGGAACCCGGCCTCGCTGTCTGATCTACGCTCCCACACGACTGTGGAGTTGGCCCCGCCGAAAGGCAGAGCCCGTGTCCTCAGTTGCTGCCATCTCCCCGGCGAACGACCAGCGCCGACGAGCCGCTTCCGCCATCGGCCGCGGCGCCCGAGGCTCCCTCTCCACCCGAAGCGCGCCCCCCACCGCCGCCCTTACGGCCACCCTGGTCGCCATCGCCGCCGCCGCCGCCGCCACCCTTGCCGCCCCCAGTCGCATGGCGGAACACGCAGGAGTCGCCCCACCTGCATGTTTGGGAGTCGCGATATTCGAAACACACTTTCGACCGGCGTTTGGAGTCCCCACCCGCGGAGCGGGAGTCCCCCCGCCGTCGCTTACCCCCACTCGATCCAGAAGAACCTCCACCACCCACAGTCCCGAACATCCGTAGCGCAATGCTCCCGGACATGGAGAAGCCGTTGATGCCATCGAACCGAGGAACCGGCGGGGGGCCAAAGCGCTCGAAAGACTCCGGCGGCACCGGCAAATTCTGCATCGGTAACATCCACAACATTACCGCATTTGCCCATTCCCGAAAATCGTCGTTAGGGAGGTCGGCGAAGGTCCCCCGCGACCCCCTCCCCTGAAAATCGCCCATATGACGGAGGGCTTGCATGCGCAGCGTACCCCGCGCCGAAAGCATGGCCTGCTCCATGGGCAGCAAGCGCGCCAGAGCTGCAGCGTTGTCCGCGGAGGTGGCAGAGAGACCAAATTTCAACACGTTAACAATCGCAGCACAGGTCAAATCGGAGTGGTCCGGGACTGACAGCTCACCAGAATTGCCAACGGGAAAGAAGTCGAGGACGTTCAGTCCGGATATGATACGAAGCTGCTGCAAGGTCTTGTCGGTGCCGGTAACGGTCCGCCCCATCATTGTTTGCAGGGTCTCTTTGTTGGGAACGTCAATTCCCCGCTTACCACGCGGCGCCCACATCAAACGTCCCGCACGCCAAGCGGAAGCAGTACTCTCGAATTCCGCTTTTTCGTAGCGACGCTGGCGATCAGCGTCCGACCCCGGAGCAGCAGCTGCACCAAGACCCGCACCGACCGCCACCGCGGCTCCCGCGCCATCAGCAGCATGCGGGCCGACCACGTGCGAACCCGCGCCCCCACCTTGGTTGTTCAGCAACTGCTGCAGGGATTGCTCCAAAGCCGATACTTTCGCAACGAGATTCTCGTTATCTTGCTGCAACATCACAAGCTGCAACGCACGCGGCGCCCCCGACGCCGCACCGGCACCCAGGTTGTTCCCCCCGGCCATCGTAGACGACCCACCGAGGCCCTCCACGGATAAACCAGCCATGCCGTCGGCCAGCCGTGCCTCATCCCCGCCGACCGCCGACCCCGCCGCGGCTCGGCCCCAGCTGCCGCTGCTTGCTGCTGACGTTGAAGTTGCTGCGTCTGCTGCTGCTGCTGCTGCTGTTGCGGCTGCTGCTGCGGCGGCTGCTGTTGCTGCGGCGGCGAAGAAACGTCACGGCAGAAAACAACCCTTGGCCACCACACGCACACGTGCTCTCGCTCGCCCCCGGTAAACACGGCGAAGCGAGTAGACTGAAAACAGAAACCAACACGCTCGTCCGCTTCCTGCTTTCTGATTGGCCAAAGGATTACTTCTGCCGCTTCTCACAAAACGCAGATTTCCCTTACTTCGTCAGCCAATCTGTCGCTTTTGGACACGTCCGTCGCCCCGGTTCCCACAGGCAGCGACGAAAGCGTGCCCCGCACCGTTCTGCGGCTCCCCCTCCCGTGCGGTCACCATATCCTGATGGGCATCTTTCACCACCTTTTCAAGGTGCTGACGGGTGAAATTGGGGGGCGGAAGGGCACGCAGCATAGCTTTCTCCATTTTGTACTCGGAAGACAAGTTGTACACAACGTGCAAATTGGCATCATCGTCGGGGTATGTGACGCCGTGTGAGGCTAACCTGCTGCGCAAAACAGCAAATCTGCCAAAGCATTCCTGCGGACTTTCACCCACTCGCATTTTTATGGCATGGTATTCTGAAGTCAACCGTGTTTTTTCTGCTCTCGCCTGGGGTTCGTAATATGCTAGAAATAGTTTCCAACCCCCGCTGGGACTACCATCAGCGATAATCTGGGTCAAGACAGGCATGTAGGTGATTGTCGTGATGATCAAATTCCACGCCGTGATCGCCTTTTCTACTGTATCAGGCGAGTGCATCCTACGCAAGTCCTCCATGTCTACTCCTTCTAACCCTACTGGAATTCTGTGGTCACTCAATACCACTTCCCTGACTCCTTCTTGCGNTAAACCTCAGTCATTCTAAGAGTCGCTGCGCTACTTGGTACTCTACCCGTGTCTGCGGGTGACATCTGAAGACGGCTGGTCAGGGCGTCGGCGAGAGTGCGGGCGATGTCGTCTGCGGATGGGCCGGCCGATGGTCGCCCCGCATGTTGCTGGTGGCGTGTCTCGTGGCCGTTCCCGCTCCGGACGTGATCTGTCCTCTGTTGCTGCTCGTCTTGTTGCCTTGTTATCTCGGCCAGTCTCGCTGCTACCCTCTCGTTCACCAACTCGTTGATCCGGGCGTCGTCGTCCACTGCTTGACGGTCGCTCTCTCGGTCTCGGTTTCGGTCGGGAGTGCTCATCGGTGACAGCTGCTGATCGCCGCAAAGCGATGTAACTCCAAACTAAGCTCGACCCGAATATCGTTGACGACGTGTCATAAGCGAGCGTGATCGATAATTCGGGTGGCTCAGTTCTGTGTGTTGGGAGTGTAGAGCAGCTGGGCCATGACGGGCCGTGGTAGGG